CAGCATTAATTTGGTGAATTTGTACAATATGTCGGAGCCCCAGAGGGACTTGGCGCTTTTGGTTTGGAACGCATGATTTGGTAGATATTTGTAGCCTAGGGCCTAGGGTATCCATTTTGCATAATCGGTCTAGTCTATTTACCCATCTATAAACAGTTACACAGTTTGTGAAACACATGCCGGTTGCAACCTGTCACTTGGAGCAAAGCCACCAGCCGGCGGCTGGTGGATGATGCTTTTCTTTGCTGGAGTGGTGTTGGCAGATAGGGTTGTCAGTACTGCCGGCACTGCCTGCCTTTGAGGCTAGAGCTGGGTTTCCCGCAGGCTTGAGTTTCAGAGAAGGGGGTTGGGAGAAGATCATGACCATTCAGTGAGTCAAGTGAAGTGACCCCATACAATACATAAATAATCATAAATATGTTATCATATAGAACATGCTCGCGTGGCAAAAGCGAGCTGATGGCCACATGTCCCCCGGCCATCCCTGAACTTGGTGTTGTTGATGTTTGAGTCTCAAAGACAGTGAAGTGAGGATCTTGCTTTGGACCATGCAGGTTACCAGCGCCTTCTAGGGACCAGACTGCAATTGGCCACCCCGGCTAGGTTTGACACTGCATATTGGAGTTATGCATTCAATGTCCAATGGCGAGAAGACGTACATATTTATAACTCAGACAAGCTTGGTCGCAAATTGAGCTGCACCTTGTGAGGGTTGGCGGCTCCCTTTGCCCGTACTTGTAGATTTGAACTGATTTTATTGAACACCATTGGGGACGCTTTTCTTGTAGCATAAGCTGTAGATTTTCCATGCTTTGGGATGGGCTCAGTGGCCTTAGGTGAGCCACATCTCAGAAGCTGCTCGCTTCGTGCTGCGAACCATGGAAACCCACAAGGAACTTGCGATCCTGAAAGAGTTCGAAGAGCGCTTCTCACGCTTGGAAAGCACCTAGGTATAATGCAAAGAAATCGGTCACCTAGATTTGCAGCAGGACGTTCATGCTTGCAGCTTACATTTTGTGCTTTGCCCATTCGACTAACTAGGCACTATCCACATGATTCTGGATTGCGATCTTCATGAACGTCTATCAGCATTGGAAGAACTTATGCAGCAGCAGCAGCGAGCGACAGCAGATCCAATGCGAGAAGTGAACCTTGACGACTATATGCAGGATTCTTTGCAGGATTCTTGGCAAGAACTGGTCCGAGAATTCGTTTGCAACACCATGACGGGATTGTTCTGTGTCCGTGTGCCATTGCAAGCTTATCGTACGCCATACGAAGGACAATAGAACCTTGAAACTTGCTCCTGCGTGGACCAGTACTTGTACTTGTAGATTCTAGCCATTCAACCTATATTAAACACGCAAAGAACATGCAAAGCACATGCTACCCTGGTGGAAAGATTTTAGCCAGTGGCGAGTGGATTCAGCTGGTGCTTGTTGCACAGTCGCAGGTGCGGTTCCTCATTGCAGATTGCAACTTGAGAAGGGAGTTGTATGCAATATGTTTCGCGCTGCGCAGTGTCTCACTATGTAAATCACCCCTGAGGACAGCGGTCACCTTGGCATCAGCTTGGAAGGTGAAGAGCTCGAGGACTCGCCTGACAGCAGAGTGGGAGCCCGGCACACCGATTCCTCAGTGACAGGGACCAAAGAAATCAAGAAGCTTCTTGGCCGCATTTTGGTTGGGTTGAGAACTGGGGGCATGGACACAGGGAGATGTTAGCGGGTGTTGTCAATGCTTTTTTTTAAAAACGAATTGGTGTTATAACTTGGAACCGCTTACAAGTTTGGCAAGGAGACTGCTAGACGAAAGGCAGTGATACATTTGAAGTTTGGAGATGCGGGCTCCTTTTGAGAGCAACAAAAGCGATTGGAATAGTAATTAACAGTCAGAAACACCAGCAACAACGCAGCATTTACCAGCACTGGCAGCAGCAGCAGCACTGGCACTGGGACCTCCAGCCCAAGATTCGATCAGGAGCAACTAACCTGAAGCAGAGCCAAGCTTGTGGGTTTGACTCCTTGATCCGCTTGGTTGAGGCTGAACCCCGCCCCGGCCTCTCTTGGAAGTCATAGATTGAATCAAGATTTAATCGAGGTGGATGGTAGGCTTGCTCAGGGCATTTCAGGGCAATCAAGCAACAGCTACCTGCCAGTGGTGGTCATTCCCTTTCATGTCACACATCATTAAGTGCTTGTTTTATGTGCCGAGCACTTCTTGTTTTGTGCGACAGCTGCTATAGCTGCTGGAGACGCCAGCACCAATGCGGAGTAAGGTTTTTCTCGCAGCACTCTGCTAGCTCCCTTGTGCAGAAGAGGCGGCTGAGCACTGAGTCTTATTCCCCACAGGACTGGCTGCTGGAGTTCCACCCCTCACTGCCTGACCAAAGCTATCAAAAGCTCCCCTTTTCTAGTTTGGAGGCCATCGCTATTAGGTTGGAGGGCAGACTGCGAGCCCCTGTCTCACCCTCCAACAACAAGGAGTACTATCGCTTTGAAGATTCCACATGGGACCTTGCTGTGCTTGGGGGCACTACACAACTGGGTCGCGCAGGGACTGTCCAAACCATGCTCCTGGTATTCATGACCGTTCTGATGCAGTGTGTGTATGTGACCCAGCTTCACAAGGCAGAGCATTTTGATGATGTACAGTGGAATTCTTTCGTTTTTTCCTGTTTGCAATTTGCAGAGTCTGTTTAGAAGACGTTACAGCTAAAGGGATCGGAAGAGTTTGTACCGTTGCTTGGACACAATGCCGACAGCTGACAAAATGCATCCGTTGGCGCCCTAGTTGTTTTTTGGGGTAAGCAGTGCGATATTTCTCAAGTCTCCATCCTCAAATCCACATTGTGGAATATTGCGGAGGCAGGCAACCCGTTTGTTCATTTTTGCTCTCAGGCGCATATATATATATATATATATTTGGTTATTTAAAAACTCTAACAGAAACTCATTTACACGTATGCTTATAGCTTATATTTATATATCACATTTCATGAAGCGTTTGTAGTGGTTTGAAGGTTTGGCTCAGGTGGGCATTGCTTGGAATAACTTCTTAGACCCAGAGGTCACAGATTCAATCGTACAAGAGGCGGTTGGGTGGAGGAATTCTTATGGCCACTCCTTCAGCGTATACGACAGGATTCTTGGCAAATCATTGGTAGAACGTGTTTGCGATGGTGACAAATCCTTGCATTTGTCACTTGGACTGGAAGCAGTATATAGTTTGAGTTATAGTTTTATATATATAGTTTGTAGTTTGTCTCTTGGGGCTTCAGCCTCCGGCAGCACTCTTGCCTCCGCGAGCATTTATTTGGGTTGTTCAGTTGCAGTGTCTACCACCTTGGAAATACCAAGACAGCAGTTTAGGTCAGGAATTCAAGTCACTCTCCATGATGAAATCCGGAAGTACTTAAAGCCGGAGGCCAATGGCTTTGCCGCCCTTTTCACTGGGCAAACGCTTTGTGTGGTTGCCTTGCTTTGTTGGTACATGATGGTTGCAAAAGAGATCAGTCAAGCCTTGGCCCTTCATCGTGGGATCATGGCCATCCCCACAGGCGCCAGCCACATGAAAATGAGGGAAAATCCCTTCACACAGGTTTTGGAATTCAGGCTCACCACAGCCTCGTCTGGCCGAAAGCTCCTGAGCTTTTTTCTTCTCCTCTATCGATTGATAGCAGCAGCGCTTCTGCTCTACGTGGGGTCATTTTTCTTGGTCTACACCGTGAACATAACGGACCTCATTCTCAATACCGTTTCATTGGGCATAATTCTCGATATTGACAACTATATTTTTGCTGCATTGGCCACAACTGCTGGCAAGAGTCTGATGTACCTGAGATGCACTTGCGGACATTTGCTTAACTACAATATTGGAACATCAGTTTTGTCAAGTTCTGTATTTCTCTTTGGATCCCGATTGGTGCCCCCTACCGGTTTATCGAGATTCTTTGGATTTCTCAGGTCTTGGCGGCAGAGCGGAAATTGTGGGTGTTTGATTTGATGAGTTCTCAAAATTGTGTTTTTTGTGATACTTTGTGGTAGCAAGTGTCCATGCAAGGTCTCACTTGGAACCTTTGAGGATACCACCCTATCGCCGCTACAAGGGGGGCTGATCTCAAATCGGTCATGATTTTTGTGGTGGTTCCATTCGTTACGATTTGCCTCTTGGTATGCTTGCCAAAACTTTTTTGTTTGACTTGCTGATTGCTCTCTCAGATCAGATCATCGAAGCAGGTTAGTACCCCCTGAGTTCAAGCCCTGGCTGGTGGATTCGCACTACTGGCTTGAAACAAGTAAGGCAGGTGCCAAAACTTGATACAGTAGCACCTGCAGCCTGTGGTTGCAATCTGTAGACCATAGACTCCAGAAAACATGGCAAGACAATCTGCTGAGAACGCAAGTGTGCCATCCAGAGTGCAGAGCATGTCAAGCTCAGTCTGGGACGGAAGCTCTAGCTGTAGGCACGGTCTGAGGGCAGCATACCTACGATACCTACGACAGGTGTGCCACGCTTGGGAAGTCGCTACACCCCCCTAGCAAACAATCGAGGGAGTCTGAATAGAAGCACAGCGGCAAGAATAATTTATAGTGGTATTGGCAGTGGTATTGGTAGTAGTAGTAGTAGTAGGAGTAGGAGTAGGAGTAGTAGTAGTAGTAGCAGCAGCAGCAGTGGTAGGTAGTCGTTCTAGTTAAGCACGGATTTTTGAAGGGCAGCAATATGCAACAATAGCAGAATAGTGAACATAATTTCCGCCCAATCACCTTGAATTATATACAGGATCGGCCTAAGGAGCCTGGTTCCACGCTTGGTGAACCAAAGAGCAAACTGAGATAAACTGAGCCACCCGAGGTCATTAATCAGGTCGTCTCAGGTCGTGTGCTTTAAACACATTGATTTACTTGGGCATTACTTAGGCCACCCTGAAGCAACTCCAAGGCGTATCTACCTTGATGTTGATGCCGATGTCCTCCACACTTTCTGCAGTGAGTAATGCCATGTGTGGTGGAAACAAGGGTTTCATTTGGACCGTCGACAAGCGCGGCATCACCCTTTTGGCACCCACAGCCATGAGCCCCAACACCAGTCGCGTCACGGCGAGCAACTTCCGCACGGAGCAGGCCATCGGTGCAGCTGGTGGATTCACTCCAGGGCCTCATGTGGATTTTGCCGTGTGGGTGGCAGACCCCTTGGCGATGGAAGACTTGCAAGCACTCAATCTAGATGAACAACTCGGTGAGGGCAATCCAAGTTGTACAGACCTTGCCGCTCACGATGAGACAATGATGAACTACTTGCGAGATGGCTTTGGAAATTATAGTATTAGCACATGTTCTGACGTGGCACCTTTTTGCAACTCTATCACAACTTTGCCAGACTGGGGCTTGGATGGTGGTCGCGGCTTTCTGTCACGTATGCTTTGCTCCGATACTTGTGGTTGCTCTGATCCCGGAGGTGAGTTCATGTTTGTGCAGGGTTGCCCTTTCAACACTGGACAGTGCTTGTCGTCTAGCACCTACAAGGCAAAGCTGCAAGATGCTCAGTCTGATGCACTGGCATGTTGTGTTTCTCCATAATGGGGCAGATGCTGTTGCCGTTCTGTCAGCTGCCACAATGCGTTTTTCTTTTGCTGCTCACGGCAGTGTGCACACATGAATTCCCATTTCTTTCTATCGTGAGAGCCAGATCCAGTTTCATTTCAGGAGAGAATTCGAGAAAACTGGTGGTTTTGTTGAGGGACTCTTTGTTCGCATGCGCCCCCAAGCCTCATGAGCCAAGGAGGCCACATGCCAGGAGAAATCTGCTGAACAGCTTCGAGGATATGCTCCTTGGATGCTTCCCTCAATTTGGCCATACTTTGTGTCATTGCTTTAGGTCTCAGGTGGTATAGGTGTAGGTCAGTGTGTGGGCCAATCTGATCCTTTTGAATCCTTTTGAGATGTTAGGATCTCGTGGACCAGCAGCCTCCGTAGATTCGGAAATGCTTTCAACAACAGCGGCGAACTACATGGACAGAGCGAGACACTTCTTCTGGCAGAGGCGATGTGGGATCATGGCTGTGATTTCCACCAAGTCCTCGACGCTCAGAACATCTCCTGGGGAACTTGTCTCTTGTCTCGATGAGTTCTGTTCCTGGTCTAGGCCCTAGGCAGACCTTCAGTGGGACAGTGGGGCAGACCTTCTGAAGCGAGATTTGCTCCCTCACGTCAGGCTATCAGTGGAGCCCATTGTTTGATTGGGGCTTCAAGACTCTAGCCTTCTTTTGTCCCATGACATGCGGATGCGACTCGACGACCAGCAGCGAGCAAGACTTGAGATGTCCTATGCCTCAGGGAAGAAGTTGCGAAGAAGTGGTAGACTGCATCTATGTCTCTAGAGTTTGCTTAATCAATCTGATTTCATTTGATTCCATGACTTTTTTGTGCCACTCTTGTGCGGCATCTCGTGCCCGACCCTCGAAAACTTTCCATGATTTCCATGCTAGCTGGTTGATCTTCAAACATTTGGTAGGCCCGCCCTGGTAGGCACCAGAGCCTGGCCACTTCCCACTGGAATGTTCAGGAAGTGGATATCTCAAATGAGATGTTCATCATTTGTGAGTCTGCACAATCTCCGCCAATACTTCTGCACGGATCCAAATCCACTGAAAACGGGTGGGGATCGCTCCCTCGCTCAATTTGCAAGGCAAGGGGAGCATATCATTGCGCAGATGACGAGGGCTCTTCAATTGTTGAAGGATTGCTCGAACACACAAAGACAGACGTGGATTTGTTCAACTCATACGCCTTCGAGCTGCGGCAAGCCCTCCAGCAGTGCAGCACGGCAGGTGATTAATCCTTTAGAATGGGACTGCTGTTGAAGTGTTTTCATCCAACACCTGAAAGAGCACCGTTTATATATTAGCGCAGACTTAGAGCTAGTCAACGCAAGCGGCTATGCACTTTGCTGAGCATGAGTCGGTACTACACGTGATGGCTTGCTGATGACCCGCTTGTTCAATTGGTCACAAGCAGAATCAGCCGGGTAGGGTGCATGAATGCATCATAATTCCAACGAGTGGTTGAATGGGACTCAACTCAGCGATGCAGATGCAAACCTGGGGAACAGCTCGGATGTGACCTGGGACTAACCGCAGAGAAGCAGGATAAATAACTAAAAAGTCATTGGCGCCAATAGGGAAAAGTCTCAGCTTGGTTGAGTATGCTGCACAGGCCCCCACACACCCCTAGCGTCTCTAAACCCTGGACATTGCTGCCATCGAGGCTTGGCGAAGCTAGCAGGCGATCCGGTCCTTGCAGAAGACGTGATGATCCTGTTCAGCAGTCCTGCCAGGGTGGAATTCCAAATGCTGGTAGTAAACGATCTTGAAGAGGTGACGGGCATTTTGTCTTCGCACTCTGCATCTCACGTTTCCAGTACTTGCCCCTCAGCTTGAGCATCTCACTCCGTGTTGTATGGTGTGTTCTTTTTCTGCAAAGTTGTTGGTCAACTACGTCCTGTGGTTGGGCACTTGCACCGCGCCCCCAGGTTTGACGTTCATGAACAACAAGTCCATTCCTGTGAGTGCTATGGGATTGGAGTTGGGATTGATCGACATCTACGGCATCGGACCCAACAACTTGGACGCTAACAATACCACGGATGGTATGTCTTCAGTACCTTCAGGGCCAGGAGCACCGACCGATGAACGACCAGATCCACCAGAAGGTGGGTCTGGACCTAGACCTTAGAGGAGATCAACTGGTTCCTGCGGCCCTTGAGGATGACCGACATTGGCTTTTTGATGTGGCTTGGTCGGGTCATGTTCGCTTTGTTCCATTTTCTTCCCACCATCTCTTGGCCTTGTTTCCAACAGCCAAGGCCCCAAGGCTGCCAAGTATTGATTTGTGCCGCTTCAGTTAATGTGCTGTGGGCCTGTGGGTGTTCTCAAAAATCTCTCGCAGTGGTTTGCATACCTTGCCCGCTTCCCACGTTCTATTTCACACAGCTCCTCGTACCGACGAATGTCGGCACGTTATGCCAGGTTACATGGATCATCATGGATCCAATTGTGGTCCGTGGTGGTGTAGCATGGTTTACCCGAAGGAGTAATTTGTTTGTTGGTGTGGGGTGGGAACATCACGGCACAGTGTAAGCCATTTTCAACAGCAGTGGCAGCATCTTTCAAAAAGACTCATGACGGATCCGCCGTGGCACTCGTAGGACAACTCCACGTGACCTGGCACAAGCTGTGGACGTTGGTAGCCACTGTGCCATGCCTTTGTATGTGTTCAATCAACATGCATCTCGCACGCATGTATGTTTGTTGCACAACGGATCAGCAGCCAGAGAGCGATCATTTTGCGTTGTCCGAGTAGCTGCTGCGCATGTATATTGCCGCCGTTAGTTTGACCATGCCATAGCCTGCAATCAGTCAGACTTCAACAGAAAACCGATCCTGCATGGATCCACCAGTGTTGTCCCTTTGCAGCAGCCTTGCCGCAGCATCGTGGACTTGATACGACTCTTGGGAGAGCCTGCTTTCAAGAAAAGGACGCAGTGTGAAAGTGTCAGCGGAATTGTTTTTTGTGTTTGCTTTTGTTGATGCTTTTCGGCCAATGCGGGATGACATTGTGAAGGTTTGTGAGGCTTGACTTGTGCTATAGTATCCATCCATCTCAGCTGCCTTGGTACAAGGATCTGTTCAATTCATACTCGTGACGAAGCTCTCAACCCCTGTGATGATATCATGTCTTTGATGATCTCTTAAACCCACTTTGGTAACTTTTTTGCCCGTCCAATGGGGTGACAGAGGTACCGCCTGCACACATGTTGCAGCGGAGTCTTCCGACAGAATTTTGTTCGGACAGACTTTGCAACTGTGCTAGGGGGTAAAACTGAAGCTTGCACTACAAAGAGATTTCACCGACCTCATCCAGTCAGTGATTGCATCGAGAAAGTCAGAAACATGAGCAAGAAAGACTAGAGTATACTAGAGTGAATTTGAGTGCTCACCTTTGCCAAGGAACGGCAACTACGCACAGTATATAACTATTTGGATCTATTTGGATAAAACTGTTGGCATGGTTGTACAGGCGGTTTCCTTTCGAGAGGTCATGCATTTGAGGGGCAACATGGAATGGGGCCCATGACGGAGCAGCCAGGTGTTTTTTTGGGCCTCAGTTGGCACCGCCGGACTTGTGACACCTGCAAAGCAGCCCGATTCTGAGATGTGAAACCAAGCAACAAGCCAAATTGTGCGTCCACAATGAACCACGCGAGTGGGCCCGGATGGTAGGTCTTGCCGTTTATGTCGTCATTTGTTTTTTTGAGGCCGTCAAGCTGGTGGAGCCTTGGCGGTCGCAAAATGGCCCGCTAGAGCCGCTAGATCTTCAAATGTTGTTTCTCACGTACGCATTTCGCTCAGTAGTGCAGGCCCCAGACCATTTCATTCTGATTTTACTGGCCGGCATTTCACCTTGCTTGCCACTGGGCAACTGGCCCCAACTGTCAAAGATGTTCTACATGCTGCCGACACGAAGCCACATCCACAGGAAGATGCTCATGGTGAAAGAGTTGTTGTAGGAAGCTTCATGTATGTAGTCTTTCGTGCACTATTGCGCAATATGCGTTTCCTAGTGCGCTTCCTGTGCAATTGTTTATCACTTCAACCTGGGCACACTCTGCATGGAATGATGGAAACTGCACAATTGCTTGTAGTATTTTGTTCAGCCAGGCCTACACAGCAATTGTAAGCGAGGCCCGGGTATCTCGAAAAGGTCTGTCAAACCGGTCAAGCCAGTGGTCCTAGTGCAAGAGCACAAACAACTGCAGTGTGTGTTGGCCCCACGGGCCAATGCCCTAAGCCCCTCAATCCCGAGATCCGTCCGCAGGAGCAAAAGACGGGATGGAAACACTTCGACGCCATGAGTGATGCTTTGCTCCTTGCCGGCTTGGTGCGTGAGGTGGCGCTCAACGGTGGTTCTGTGGCTGCAGGCTGGCACAACGGGGTGGATCTTGGGCTCTCGGTGTGTGAACCCTGGCTGGGCGTCAAGATAAAGCGACAGTCAGACAGTCATGTTGGCTTGGCTGTAGGTGAGCTGCTGCGATATGACCGACAGCTGCGGAAGTGGCTAGGCCAGGCAGGGACATGGAGGCTTTTGAGAGTGCCCTTCCTGTCGTGCCAATCTGTATTGTCATTTACTTTGTAGTTTCATCATGCGGACTCAGACACTTGGGTAATCAGGCCAAGGCTTTTTCAATGACCCTGAAAGTTTACTCCAGAAGTCTAGTTCCTTCCTCCAAGAGCCTTTCCAAACGTTTCGTAGTTTCCTGATGCAATTGCCGATCACCGCGTCCGACAGGTGATAGGAAGCTCCTACAATTCATTGCCCAGCATCAGACTGCGGGAGATCTCAGAAGTTGTGCGGGAGCTGACTTGCAATGCATGCTTGAGTTATATATGCGTGCACTGTATACTTGAGTTTAGTTGTTTTTTTGGTTTTCTCTGTGAGGTCTTCAGTATAGAAGGTCAGCAGGTGACCCTGCAACCTGGAGCCATGCAAACCTCCGAGCCAAGCAGCACAAGCTTGGGAGGCCATCCCAGATTGGAAGTTCCTTTGGTCCATGCACTGGTCAGAAATACCGCCATCTTTGGCCATGATAGTGCTAAATCAGCTTTGCAAGCGGTGCGCAGGTTGTTTGTAGGGAAATTGTGAGCCTACATGACTGTAGGCGAGACTAGGCACCTTGCTCAGCACAATGAGAAATTAGAATATAGTCTTTGCACCATCCTCCTGGCGAGCCTGGCGAAGTAACATTTACATAAAGATAAATTGAGCTTTTTGGCTCTACTAGGAACAAGAAGCTACTAGGGGCTCCTGGCATCGCTAATAGGAGCAAGGACGCTACTAGGGGCTTCTGGCCTTACTAGGAGCAAGGACGCTTTTTGGCTCATGTGCCAGGTGACCTGCCAGAGTTTGATAATTCAACTGATCCAAGTGGCGAAGTCTATTGCAGCAGCTGTGGTGCGGCTCTTCCGTCAAGGCCGTGATCAATTCATGCACAAGAGTCAGAGTATGGCAAGTTTCTAACCAGCTTGCAGTTTATTACGCATATTGAACTTGGTCTTGGTAAGCAATACGGTAAGCTACAAGCTAATTACAGGTGGAATGCAAATCGTTTGTTTCTTAAGTCAAGCCTGGATTTGCTGCAAAGTTTGCTTACTAAATTGCTATATCGATGGTAGATTTCTTAGGTGCCATGGTTTTCCACATCTTTTCTAGTTGCTGAGGGTGGGGCGGATGTGTGTTTGAGGGCGTTGTCAAGGAAATGAGTGAATCAGTGTTTTAATCTGATCACACGGCAGTGGTAGTTCAAAGCCTTCCTGCTTAGGGTAGCTGTGATCCTCCAGCGAGCTTGGTGTTACAGAGGTGATCTCCATGTCACAAAATGTCACAAAGAGATCCGGGATCCACCTTCCAGGAACCGGCTCTTCGCCCACCTTGCTGCAGCTCATGGCTTGCGCAGACCCGACGAAGTGAAGGCTCCCAAGGTACCAACGCAAGTGGTTTCGGTATGTTTCGGTGGGTTCGCGAGATATGGGCTCACTCTGCAAATACCAGGGCGAGGGCGCCTGAGAAGAATCACAGTGACCGCTAGAAACTAGATTCAGCGAATCAAACTGGACCATTGATCTAAATGGGTTGAGAGCTGGTGTCCTGAATGCACCAATCGTGGGCCCTACAGCTCTCGGAATCAAGGTGACTTGCTTGCCCTGACCCTTTATAACAACCGAAAGCATTTGCATATCATAACGAGGTTGCTGCTGATGATCACCTGGAGCGCGGGCTCCAGCGTGAAACCATAGAAGGGCTTCGCTTTGTGCCTTGGCAACATTTGCATTCACGATGTTGCATTCACTGTGTTGACATAGGGCCGGGTTAGGTCGGCACTAGAAATCTACGTAAAAATAAAGCTGCCATGGTCAACTAAGACAAAACCGATGCCTAGTGAATTGGCCGTGTCATTCGACATGAACATGTCCGAAAGGCGCAAAGCATCGTTTTGTTTAGGGGTTCTTCGTGGCTTGTTTCACTTTTGAATGTTGGAAATAGCCACCCGGAAGATAGGCCAAAGGACTTGCCAAGAGCGTCATCCAATTTATTTCAATAGTTTTGTGGAGGTGACACTAAGACAAGGTGCAGACAGACAGAGGAGAGGGGCTGCTTTCGAAACAGGGAGCATGTTGAGATTTCAAGTAAAGCTCAAGTATCTAAATTGGCTCTTTTTTGTTACCTACAATTTGGACACAAACTCCATAGTATTCATACCTTTATGTTGCCAATGGATTGTCGATCATTTTCCAGAGCTGCTTTTCCATCTCCAGCCAAGGTGATGGAAACACGCGGTGAGGGGAGCCTCGTCATGAAGTTATATACATGAAGTAAATCTTACAGTAATTCTAATTCTTAGCTTCTTGTTTCTAATAGCTTCTTATTACTAGTAAGTCCAGAAGCCCCTAGTAGCGTCCTTGTTCCTAGTTGGTCACCGGGCCCCGCCTTCACTATGGCACTATGGTGCCACCTGCTGCCACTGGGTTATAGATGTCCCCTCAAGGGTCAGTTACAAGATCCACACGCCCGAATACCAGTGTTGCGGATGTCTATGCGGACAGCTGGAGTGCATGCATGAAGTGAACTAGAGAATACGTGAGTATATATACTAAACCAAATAGTGATGGCCTCCAAGCTACTAGTACATGAGAAAATGGCAACCATTCAACATCACATGCTGCAGAATTCAGGAGATCACCTGTGCGGCTGGACTGGGTTTGCACGATTCCGCGAGTGCGCCAAAGTCTCATCCTTTGGCTGCGCTCCAAAATGCTGGCAGGCGATATCAAAAGGGTCCAATGATGCACCCCTGAATTGTTTATTCAATTTTTGAATACAGTCATGGCAGTCACTGACAGAGAGAGAAGAGTTGAGATAACGGGGTGAACAAACAGGTTTCGAGAAATGCGATGGCATTTATTGCGAAGGCTGATTGTTGATGCATGGTGGCCTCAAGGTGTGCTGCCCCAGCATGCGCCTCGCTCGGGGGGGCTGGTGGAAGATCGCAATTGTCGAGTTCCTGAAGTTCATGCAGGCATGGAGCCAGCACGTAAATATACAGTTGGATGCTTCGTTACTTTTGGTCTTCGCGTACAGGCAATACACTTAGACACTTAGCCAGCCGCAGAATGTGATGTGCTAGTGACTAGTGAGGGCTGGAAGTCATGTCCAGCCTTGGGGCTCCTAGTAGCTTCTTGTTACTAGTAGCGATGCCAGGAGCCCCTAGTAGCGTCCGATCGCTCCTAGTGGGCCTTTCGTTCAGGACCGGTCTGAGATTTTCGAAGTTGGGCAACTGGGCGGTCCACAGGCAGGACGTATGGCAGATGTGTTGCGACATGGGATGTGTACTTGTAACAAACCTTCGTTTGCGGTATAGTGTGACCTTCTTGAAATGCACGTTGAGCAGCTTTTGGATCTACACTGTTCATAGCTTGTGGGATCCCAAACTTACATTCTAATCCAATGTATGTATATATATATATATAGGTCCGCGCTGACGTTGTGGATTGACGATGTTGTGGATTGACGATGTTTTTCTCCTGGGGGAGCTCCATTGACAGTTTGCTTTGCCTAGGCCCCAGAGAATGGTGAGGGCATCCGGCTTCGTCAAACCTTGGTCGGGCTAAGCGACTCTGCCTGGCAGCAGACGGACCAGCTGCAAGATGAAAGTCAGGCCGCACGCAGTACAAATCGACTCCCAGACACGCGGTGCAAGAGAATTTAAGTTAATAGCTTCTTGTTACTACTAGTAAGGCACCTGTCACTACTAGCGGTGCAGTTGTTTCTACTAGCTTCTTGTTACTTCAGAAAACAAGAGGGACGATGCGTCTCATCCATTTGTTTGTTTGTTTATGTTCATGGATGTTCATGGCATTTGGCAAGTCAGCCAGCCAGCCAGTCAGTCCGTCTGGAGTCAGGGATTTCAATGTCACCTGCAAGGTTGCGGTCACCCAAGCTTTTGATCCTTGAAAGATCGTGAGAGAATCTAGTTAAAGTTAGACCGTGCTATATTACATACATGTATAGATGCAAGGTCATTAAAGCTGGTATGTGATGGTCCGTAAGCCCTTGCAAATTGAAGCTGAGACACGTTTGGTTACATGCAGGAGCAACTTGCTGGTCGTGTTCTGACTGTCTTGCAGGCGATGCAGGCAAAGCAAACCGTTCGCATCGTTCAGTTTCGGCGTGTGCAGGCACAGGCTTCATGTCATGTTTGAATCACCAGCCTGGACCTTTGTAATCCGGTTGAATCGGACAAAGATCGTGTCCAGGGTTCATTGCAGGCCGATCCTGTGAAGAAGCGTTTCTCCTATCAGTTGCTCAGCGAGGTGGCTCAAGATCGTGGTGTGCAGCGTCTCTTACATGGACGAGTGTTCCTCGATCTTAAAGCGGGCGATCAAGTGTTCAATACTACTATTAATATATACCTGGACCCTGAAGAGTTTACTAATGTTTGAACTGTTGGGTTTGTGAACGCAAAAAGACGCAAATCCTGAAAAGCGGGCTGAATGTTCCAGTTGGTCCAAACGTGAAGAAATCACTGAGTGGAGGACAAGATCATATATCAAGAGCAGATTCTTCACCACTCCATGCTTGGCTTTAAGATACGCATGATCTTCATTGTAGAATCACCTCTTAAGAAACACGATCGACGATAGATGTGCAAATCCATGCTTATCAGTTCTTTTTACACCTGTCCATCCTGTCACAGATTTTGACACCTAACTTGGTGTTTCTTTGGCATAATTATATAGATCCATCATGATCTGTCAATGAGCTGCCAAATGAAATCCCACATGCCATATGCATGTGTTTTGGTGTTGATTCAATACTATTGCTTTCAATATATTTCATACATGGTCACACTTTTCCCTGCACAACCACAAATATCCGCAAAGAATACGCAAATATCCGCAAAAAGTACGCAAAGCCCCACAAGAGTGCACAAAGTGGGATTTCTGTGCAGTTTCACATTTAGCAATTTAGTGGCCTACCATCATGAGAAGATTTGACCTGGAGCTCGTGGGATGGAGCAAACTAGTGTGAATGCTTGCCACATAGGGCAATCTTGAAGTTTCACCATATCCTGTAGGTTGACAAGTACCCAGGGTGGCAATTGGCTAGAAGTGTACTACACACTCAAAGAGCCGAAGTCATGATATTGTATCGTACAACTCTTGATCAACTCCTCGTATGGCTCAAAGATGCGTACATAGGTGATCATGCACCAAGCATAGATGTGCTTGCTGGTGGGAGTCATTTAAGAAAGCGTCCAGTTTTGCTTTGGAGTGTACAGTTTTGGCTTGAATCGTTTAGATTGGCATTGAAGTGTTCCAAACGGCCCAAAAGGATAGAACTGCCAAACGTACAGAAATTATTGCACTTTCAAGGGTTCAGGTATATATATTCCTGCTCCAGAAATTTAGGCTTTGATTCATTGATTGATGTTTGTGACGTGCTCCTCACGCAAGAAGACGGGTTTGACTTGGTTTTTCAACAGTTCCAGGTTGTCCAAAACTTTGGCGGGTGACGCAAGATTCGATGCTGAGCTAAAACACCCAGCGGTGACCTTTTTGTACTGTCGCTAGTGTTTTTGTGCTTGCTCATCGTGTCATTGCAGTGGTCAAACTATCTCAGGAAGTGAAAGAAGATCCCCGCCATGGCATAACTATCCGGCTTTCTGGTGATAGTGTCGTGCGGAAAGGGACGACAGACGCTGGCACATCACCCTCAGCGGCCTCCATGGTGTCTATTTTGGCACGCCACGAAGGCTACGCAGTGGCTTTGGACAAACCGGCGGGCCTGACAACTGAAGAACTTATTCATCATTTTGAGTCCCAAGAGACGCTTGCTTTCCATTGAAGCTTTGAAGTGTTTGTTTGTTACAAAGCCCCAGCCTTTGACACTGCCATTTTGCAGACGTAGTTGTATGGGCTAGAGCGGACCCTGCAATGACCGTGCAATCGCCACGTCGAAGTCGTGATTATGTATGTGCACTAGTGTCACTAGTAACTGGTATCGGTATGGATGGTACTGCTTCAGGTATTGGTATTGTAATATGATGTCATAGCTTTGGGATTCCAGCAAAAAGCCGCTTGTTCCCTGCACGCCATGTTGGAGAGGCGTGTCGTAGTATGAGGTTGGCAGGTTGTTGGGGTTAGTTTGGGTCCCAGGGTGGGCTCTTTGCTCCACCAAGGAAACCAGAGGGTCCGCTCAAAAGTGTCTCACGCTTGGATGCTCCTACCTCGGGTGCTTTGGTGGTTCCTCTTTGTCAGGACGCCATGGAGGACTTGAAAGATCACTTCTCAGCGCGCAGGGTGACGGACTTTGCATTTCAGAAGTTTTGGAGAATTGACATGAACTGACCAATGATGCACCAAAGTTCTGACCGTTCTTCATTGAGTGTGAACGCCCATGCCTGATTGAAAGTACATGAACGAGCGTACCACACAAAAAAGAACAGTAATATATATATATATAGATTATGTTCGATTATGTTGGTGTTCGATTCTTTGTGCCGGAAAGGTTGACCTACATGTAATGGTGTGGGTTATAGGCTTCTTTCACCCATTGCTTTTCTGGCGACTTTAGTTCGCGCTCTTTGACCTGTAATCGACATTTGTGTGTAATTTTGTGCAGGAAAACCTCAAACACACTTAATAATATCCTGTCACAACAGCTAATAGCACTGACCTTAACGAGCTCATTCTTCTTGACTTCGGCAACTAGCCCTATGGCGACATCACAGGAAATGGAATTCTTGCGTTCAAGAATGATAGACCAGAACATGGTGCACTTGTGCAGGTCACGAAGGCCTATTTGGCTTTGGTCTTGGGGGAGCCGCCCAAGCATGGACAAATTGATGTGAAGCTTCGAGCAGTTCAGTCCGTGGATCGCTATCGCGCTGTCGTTCATCCCTATGGCAAAGAAGCTGTCACGAGCTTCCAACGGCTGGCAGTGCTTCAAGGGGATCCTCGGAGTGCGTTCATTTAAATACATATATACAACTATAGTATATATTATATCTTTGGAATTTGTTGCAAGTGCTGGGTGTGCATTTCATGGTGTCCAAACCGTTGTGGGTGAAGAGAACCGAATTGATCAGGATGAGCATCATGATTCTTACTCCCTGGTGCTGGCATGGCCTTTGACTGGTCGAATGCATCAGATTCGGGCCCATTTTGCCCATTTGGGCTTTCCCCTAGCTGGGGATGTGCGCTATGCACCTCGAAAGGGGTCCACTGCATGGTCCGGGGAGCGCCTCTTTTTGCATGCCGCTTTTATCTCTGTGCCCTCGTCGCTGACAGCTGTGTCACCCTTGAAGGTGGATCTCCTTGAGCCCTTGAAGGACAGGCAAGCCCACAATCATGTTGGTGTGCATTAGTATATGCATATAACACACACACACATATATATAGATGCATATTGTAGTGAGAACAGTAACAGGATGGGTGAACAGGATGTTCCCTGCAAAAGGGAAGCAAAGATGTCTTCCAATCGGTGTTCATGTATGCGTTTTTGTATGTTTTTGTATTAAACGTCCTGCCCCAAAGATGTCTTCCAGTCGAGGTTTAAAGAGGTTTGCGAGCGTTGTTACAATAAACTGTATGCATTCAGCCCTGCCAAACATATGTTTTCAACGCGATGTTTAAGCAGGTTCTTATGCAGGTTACAGTAGAATTCATGGCTTCAGGTCCTGCCCCAAAGATGTTCCCAAGGCTAGAGCGTTGAAACACATGCATACAAGTTCTGTCGTTCTTCAATATGTCTTTCCATATTTTGCATCACAACGCCTGTGGATCACGCGTCTTTCTACTTGTCGCATCGTCCGCAGGTGTTTACACCAAGCCTCGCCTGTGACACCGCCAATCATCCCGCTCCCCAGCGACACGCCGCGCTCACGCCATAATGTTTCCTTTCCCCCAATGGCACGGACTCACGCCTCTAAGATTTTCTCACGAAAAAGCCGAAGAACCCCCTCAGCTGTGAATCCCCTCTAACAATCCCACCCCAACCACTGCCAAACCTCGCTTTTTGAATCCCCGTACGGTCCGACTCATCTTCACTGCCTCCAAAAACTTGTCAACCTTCCCCTTGGACCTAGCCCATTTGCCTCGGCGGATCCTCCGTGTATACACAAGTGAGATGTAGTCTGGGCTCGGCAGCATCGATGCAGCGTTGTGAGCATGTTGTCAAAGCAGGAACTTAAGATCGACCCGCAATTGCTGCAGCAGTTGCAGGCTCCAAAGTTTTATCTGGAGAGCTGCTCAGCGCAAGGTATCAAATTGGTGTCGTTCTGTTTCTTTGGTTTGATGGTTTTTCTTGTTTAAACATCTTTGTGCGACAAATTGCGGCGGTTGAGCAGAGTGTCCACTGTATGGGGGGTTCCTGAAAATAGCTGCACAACAATTGCGTTGTGCGTCGGCGTGATAAGGAGCGGCAAAAGCAGCGTCTTTGAGTTCCAGTGAATCCAGCAGCGTAGCTGAGCAGAAATGTATTGAAATGCTGGATGGTTGAGCGGGTGGAAGACTAGGCAAGACCAACCATACGATTGGACCAGCTGATCAGTGCATGCTGGTCTAGATTAGTATGGTTAGTGCATCTACAGATAGATAGATAGATAAATGAATGACGGATAGATAGATAGAGAACTAGATAACTACATACAGAATCACACCCAATATTCAAAACACACCTATTCTTAATTTGATACCTTTCGGACAGTTGCTGAAGGTCGCGCTCTCTTTATTGCATGATGCAAGCAGTGGCTACTCTAGTCTAGCTTTGGCGTGTAGTGTTCACAATTTGCCGCGGCGGCATGATGAATTACAGACCATGTCATCCAGGTGGGCACAATGCCAAGTCCTCACAAGCATGTCAATCAATCATTTGTTGGTTGTTCATATGTTTGATTCTCTGCACTATCAGGCAAGTGATGATAGCGATGATGAACATCTCCAATCACTGCTTGCCAAAGAGAACGTGACCGCCGCCCAGATGCACACCAACTTAGGCTCCAGAGGTTTGGCATACTCTTTCAGAAGCGGTTAGGGCCACCGTGAACTGAACACTTCCCCACAGGCATGGAGAGGGCGATGGAGGGAGAGAGAGAGAGGAATGTATGCAGCTCCGAGTCCAAATGCCATTTCTACTGTATTGGTATTGTACATACAACTCATTCAGGCTGGCAACAGTGAAGAATGTTGGCGTGATGTTGTAGTATATCACCTTTAAATACCATTGGCTTGCCTTATGAGTGGAAGGTGTAGTTTCTCGGATGACCTCGGCTAGTTTTTTGTGATGCGCAGCTTGCATTGCTGGCATCCAGTATGGCTCAGACAGATCATGAATTTCTTGAACTGTGCTTGGAGCCATTGTGGCAGGGTTCCAGCTCTGCAGATCAATACGCCTCTTGCTTCTCATCTTCCACTGGAGCTATTTTGCTTGGACGAGGTGGCTGTGAGCCACCTGAACCCAAATGGAAGATTAATTTAGCTTTGGGAAGCCGTCGTCACTGTTGGTTCCAGCACTCGAGCGACTTGGAGAGTGGAGGGCCCGGAGGGCATCACGTGCGAGTTGTAGATGTGAGCAGAGGTGGAACCTTCGTCAATGGGAAGCCTGTGAGCCGCACGAAGGGCACAGCTCTGTTTGATGGTGATGTTCTTTCACTAGTCAATGCCAGACCTGCCACTTCAGATGAGGACTTTCGCGCTTGGAATGTGCGTATCAAAAGCTCTCGCATGACTTACGCTGGTTCTAGTGTGCCTGAGCTTCCTCAATCTGAGCTTGTAAGTTCAGGTCAGCGCACCTCGCCATGGCCCAAGCTTGTACCCTTTTTTTGGTGGTGGGGTGGGGTTAGCACAGCCCAGAAGACCAATCAAGAGAATTCTTCTTTCTCTAGGCCATTTGCCCTGTGGCCAGGAGAACGGATCTCATTTCAGATTGCGAGGCCCGAGGTGCAGAGAACGTTTAATGCTTCTGGATACACTGCAGAAGCGCGAGAATTCCTAAGTCAGCTCCCCTTGCGGAGGCAGGATTCTGAGGATACCTCGGAACCCGAGCCAGAAGAAGCAACCGAAGAACCAGAGGAGGCACCAGAGGAGGCACCCGATGCACACGAGGACCAAGAAAAAGAACTACGAGATGCCGATGGACAGGATGTGCAGGTGGCTGAGACCACGGAGTTGATTGCACAACTCCAACTTGATGCTGTTGATACGAGTGCGGAGGGCCAAACGGATTACCCGGAGCAGTACGCAATCATTGACACCAATCAGCTACTTGAGCACTTGGATGCTGTGAACAGCATTTTGGAGAACATTTGTGGTGTCAACATCATTGTTCCCGTCGTGGTGCTGCATGAGCTTGATAGGATCTCCAAGCAAAGCGACAGCCGTGCGACGGCAGCGCGTTGCGCCAGGAGCTTTCTTGAGCGCTTTATTTCTGGGAAGCGATGTTCAGCCGGACATGAAGCCAGCACCATCAGTTTGCAGAAGTGCCAGGCTTGAAAGAAGGCTTTGTTCTTTAGGTAGTTAGTTGCCGCAAAAATTTAAACGATCACTCTTGCGATTTCTTGGTGCTGGGCAGACCGAGGATGGCAGAAAGCCTTTCAGAGCCGATCCGTGGTGTTCGCGGCAACAACGACGACCAGATCTTGGCATGCGCCGTGTATTTTGCAACGGCTGTGGCGTCCCAACGCACAGAGGTTTTCACAGAAGACCGAGGGCTCTCAGTCAAACTGCGTGGACGCGATGTGCCCACCGAATCGGTGAACGCTTGCTTGACACGTGGGCTAGGATCCCGGCTTGCTTGAGCATAGTGGTAGCCGCGGTAGCCTGCAGATATGCGACGCTATCGATGCCGTCCAGCTTTGCTCGGACATGTTTGATGGAAGGAAAAGGATGAGAAAGATCATGCAACTTCCTTCCCCTCAAGAAGCATTGTGGGCATTGTTCTTGAGTGTTGTGGAGTTCCCAATGGTGCCTAGACTCCTGTGCTCCTGGCAAAAACTGGGGCGGACGGAGGACGGGTAGGAACAGACTATCCTTGGACATCCTTCTGAACATCACATCAAAGTACTGCCCCTACACACTTCTGCAGCAAGATGCCAAACAAGAATGGCACAGGTTAGTGCAGAAGGAAGGCACTTGCCCTTGCTGACTGAAACATGCCACGACGCTAAGACATGCGAATCCGCTTCTAGCCATCTATATGTATATATAAGTAATAGCATTTGATACCTTCGATGATGGTTTCCACTGATGTTTCCTTCCTTTTCCAGACCAGACAGGCATGCATTTGATATCTCAGGATCCAGACCCTGCCGCAGTCATGCGGCCGGTCATGAGTGGGCCCAGCAAAGCACCGCAGCCCCAACGTCCAGATCTACCAGAGATGCCACAGGAATCTGGCTGTGGCTTTTGGACAGCAGGAAGCAACCGTAACCACCACTAAATTGGATGTCCAAGTTGGTTGTGTGATGTTGTGTGTCGTTGCTGACGCCGATAACAACAAATAGCTACTTAAACAACGCAAGCTCCCTGATTTTATTGCAGTCTTTTAAATATGTTTTCCCGCATTGGTTCTGTTTGATGCTACGGCGTGGGGATGTCCACATTTCTCTGGCAGCATGTGTTCTATCTGTATTTCGAATTTGCTCATATGTGCCCATGCCTTTGTAGCCAGCGCTTTGTCTAATTCTGCTGGCTGATCATTGCGACATGCCATCGCCTTTCTGAGGTTACATTCCTGGGCCTCAGATTCCAGACTCGAAGCCATTGCCCCAGGTGCCCGCTTGCAGACTGACAAATGTGGTCACCAAAAAAGGGGAGAGAGAGGGAGCCAGCGAGCGCGCGCGTGTGGAAAAGACATTGTCCAGACTCAGTCAGTGCGACACTTGGATTGGATGCTGGTTTGGCGCAACAAGCTTGAAGATTTGCTCTCCATTGTGGTTGGAGATCACCAGCAAGGTAATTAGGCTAGCGGCCAGACATGACACCTGGAGAGAGATGATATTGATATCCCAATGTAGATCACCACTTTGTTGTGTGCAAGACGAGTACATGGTTCTAGCCGCAGAGATTGCTTTGGGTTTGGATCTTCTTTTAGTATCGGCTTTGTTGGCGAATCTATACAAATTTGCCGGGATGATCCGGGATGCGTATTACGTCTCTTGTTGCAGTCGTTTGGGGGCTGGGTATTTGCGCCGTGTTGCAGAGACCGCCTGGAGGCTGGGATCTATTTGACAGGTTGCCAGGGGCGCTCATAAAGCACCCACTTTTTGTTGCTCCTCAGAGTATCTCAGAGTCGCATTTGCCAAATTTACTGGCCCAACGGATCCCGTGCCCTTTCTCTTGGCACATTTGCATGGGTTTGTGTTTGTGCAGCCCTTTGAACTCAAGCGATAGTCGGCGATAGTTACCAGATTTTGCTCGAGCAGTCCGGAGGAGGAGCTGGCGCCGTGGTTGCCACAGTGGGATGCTCTGTGCTGGGCTTCATGATGGCAGGCATGATCATCTCGCACTTTGCAACACACGCATATATGACCTATATGTTTATTGGATTGGCGTTCGGTTGTTTTTTGTTTTAGGTTGAAGTCGCGCTGTACCTATCCGGTTTGGTTCTTCAAGGAAGACATCATTGTATATGCACGTCCTGCCACCAGGTCCAGTGGGTGCTGTAATTGGCGGTGGCTTGGCCATTGCTGCAGCCTCTGCAACAAAGCGGTCAGATCAACGGCTACCACTTGGGATCTCCAACCTTTGCCTGTCACCAGACAAATTGAAGGACAAATGTGGTCGCAATGCATTTGAGTATGTGAGTGTAACTATTGTTGCTAAATCATGCTAGATGTTCGGGCTAGGCCCTGACCGCTTCAGTGTGTATCATGTGTATATACATATATACATATTCAGATTCAGATTCAGTCTTTTGTAGACTCCACCGGTTCCAGTCTGCCAATCCGACGACGCTCGCCAAGGCCACAGGATCAGATTGTGAAGCGCTCTGGCATCACGTACTTCACAGTCACATCCATTTGCTGCAGCAAGCCTTTCTGATTTGTCTTTAGGCCCTGCTTTTTCCTGATATCAGGTTTCACACATGCTCAGACTTGCTTGTCTATGTGAGGTGGAGATCCAGGATGCGTATCTCAGCACTGTTTTAGCAATTCAGCTGGTTGCCTTTCCCCCCCTCGGCGTGTGATGCTTCAACCCTTCTAGAGCCCTACCCGCTGTTTCAAGACGTGTTGGAAGCTGAAGTTGCCAGAGAAGTTTGTGAGGAATGGATCAACGTGGAAGGTGTTGAGAAGATACAACGATTTCAATGCCTTCAGGAGGGCGTTGAGACGGTACAGGGTCCACCACTATTTTCCTGGAAAGTTGTGGCTGGGATGTGAGGCGGGACTGTGGAATGCTTGTGAAATCTTTTGACTGGCATTCTAAGCGCACAGCGCAAGTGCTAGCATTCTCAGCCCAAATCGTTTTTCAGAGGCCTTGCTAACAGCTCAACCGATCCAAGCAAGAGAGGAAAAGGAAGACCCTGTTTGGGTTCCCTAATATTCTAGGAACCAAAATCACTAGTGAAGGAAGCTCCCCCCACCCTCAGCGGGGGGAGCTTCCTTGAAGAAGCGTGAGCTATCCTGCGTCCTAGGTAGTATCTACTTAAGCTACTAGCTACCTAGTTACCTCTTCTCGGCCTACCCCCATGGTCTTTAAACAAAACATGCAATTTCTTCCCTTCTTGGACTTCTTTTTCTAACATTATTCCAGGGTCCTCGACTTGAAGCTCGTCGGCGAAGCCTGGAGCTTTGGGCACAACACGTGATGCTGCGGCACTTTGCTAATGGCGTTCCACGTCAGCTCCAGCCCCATGGCTCCCGTTCTAAAAATCAGAAAACAGGAACTCCACCATACTTTTATGCAAGTAAAGCAGGCCCTCAGACTATGAACACCTTCTTTAAAGAACCAATCAGATATTGTTCTTGGTGAAGTATATTCTTCCGATGGCTTTCTGGAGGGAACACATGTTTTGTAAATGTGCGTTGGTTATTTTGTGAAACAACTGATCCCCCCGTCTCTGGATGTACTGTAGTAATGATTGGAACTTATAAACAATGATAGCAATGTGCATACATGTGTTCTTGACCTCCGTGCCAAACGGTTAAACGTGCAAGGAATGAGTTCGACCTCTTCTTGCGCAGAGGCCAGGGATCCATCACCACACCGTCAGGCTTTGCACCCGCCATAACTGATGCTGGTGGCACCTTTGCCATCGAGGTGCCACCAGGCGTTGTGGCTGGCCAAGAGCTCACGGTGAGAAGTCCAGATGGCTCCAGTTTTCGCATCACTGTGCCTCAGGGTATGGGTGTCTCATCATGCAATTAGATGGACAAACATGGGCAGAGGTTGGGCGCATCTTCTTCCCAAGCTATCCAGAGCTTAATAATTGTCTCTGACTGCCTGACCAGATATGTTTGGGGGATTCATGAGGTTCCTTGACGCCTGCCACCAAAAACCACTGGATGGGGGGTATCTCCATGAATGCCCTCTCGCTGTGCCAAGGTCCCGGATCCATCCTTCAGGTGCAGCCCCAAGGCCGGCAGCAGGCTTCAATATCAGATGCTACAGCAAGCATGAAGGACCAGACTGATGGTGCCAGTGAGCCACGCAAGTATCATGGACTTGCTTCAAAAGCACTTTCGGATACTTTCGGCGTTATATTTTTCAAGTGTGATGTGGCAATGTGACACTTGCTATCCGTGACACTTTGATGATCCTTGTGGATGACAACATGTTCATGACACATAGAACTCTCTCTCAGTATGCCAGTTTTCCTTTGGAACGATTGACACAGTGAAACATATTATTAAGCTAGCAGCTAGTAGAAACAAGAAGCTATTAGGAACAAGTGCATCGCTACTAGGAACAAGTGCCTTACTAGTAGTAACAAGAAGCTAGTAGACATATTGCTCCGAACTGAGGACCATGTTGAGCATCTCAGTTCCCGACGGAGTTTCCTCAGGGCAGACCCTCGCGGTCCAAGTGCCAGATGGTCGGGAGCTCACCGTTGTTGTTCCACCAGGTGCCCCGAAGGAGCTGTGGGCTGTGGGTGAAGCCTGACAGGTTCAGAGCAGGTGTGAAATGATGTGAACCTGCCAAGGAGTTCAGCCAGTTGGACACCCACTTAATTGCCAAGAAACAGGCAGTCTGAACCGGCAAACTTTACTCGACGTCACGACATCAAGGTTGAACTGCAACCACTGAGAAGTCCAATGCTAAAGTAACGCCACAAGTGTAAACGGGCACTGTAAGTGCAAGAACTCCTCTCCAACAAATGTGGAAGAAAAGCGTCTTGTACGGGGCCGTTTTCCACCTACATGTTGAATGTTAGGGCTTGGTAGGGCAATCAAAGCCAAGGTCCAAGGTTATTGCTTGCTGGATCACTCTGCAACAGATGAATGAAACACTCAAGCTTTGCAGAGGAGTTGTTGCTGGAGTTCGACCCCGCAACGGGGAGGCTCTCCGTCATGGGGCAGGAGGATGCTAATCACTCCACAGGTCCAAGCAACTCGGAGAAGACTGGAGCAAGATATGTCGAACAAACATAAGAAAGATGAAAGATGGCGTGAGAGTGAACTTCTGAGTGGCAGAACTGGTTGTTCCCAAGATTTGCCGCGACTACTACTGAACAGATTGCTCAGAATCTACTTCAATGGATCAACAACAATGTCGCGTTTGGTTTTCCGTTGCGAAATGACTGCACACTGCATGAACGGTGCCCGCTGATTCTCAAAAACGATCAACATTTCCTAGGGACAGCTTTTCGATCTTCTTGAGAAGGTTGTTGTACCTGTGCGAATGCGACTTGACAACTCCTTGAAGCGGCACAAAACACAGACGACCAGATGCATGTGTGAGGTGACTCAGATGAGGTCTTCCAGATTCAAGTGCCTCCTGGGATTGAAGCTGGCCAGATCGTGAGCTGCACGCAATGCAGCATAGTCGTGCTTTTCTTTGGTTCATGCCCTGCGTGGAATTTGGTTGGGACTGTGAGTCATCACCGAGGTGAACATCCAGGTCCCAGATGGGCGGCAACTTCCTGTGATGGTGCCTACAGGCAAACGACCAGGAGATCCGACTCGAGCAGTTCATTTTGACGAAGACGAGTGCTAGGGATTTTGGGGAAGCCAGTCGGAAGCTACTTTCGGATCTGACTCTATGGCAATAACATCAAGGTTATTCATCATGTCCAGCCTTGCAGACATATGATGACGTATGTAGAAGAATTATGTTTTGTGAGGAGATGAGCTGTTGCTTTGCTTGGATGCAACTCGGAGCCGACTGCTCCTGGCATAGATTGCTGATGGATGCTGATTCCGCGACAACATGTGCATTATATATTCATTAGTCGGCTTTCTACAGGACTGGGTGCAACCTCAGTTTTCTCACTACTCTTATTACACATGTTGTCAATTCTGTCATTGATCAAGTCTAACATTGCTGCACATGTTTGACCTTAGAACTGTAGGGTACAAAGAGGTGTTGATTGCCCCTGTTCTGCATTCATCGTCCAGTTGCTGCAAAGGCTTGCCTGGCGAAAATACTGTTTCACCATCTAACAGCTCCGCGAAGTTCGCGAAGGTAATCTCAACCTAATTGGACCCTGATCTTGATTTGCCCCGGGGCGTTAGGGTGGATTCATTCCAGTCGCAGTATCAGGCGGATCCCCCCAATGAAGGCATTGGAAGTACAGAAGGATTCGCCTTTTTGCCCACTTAGTGATCACTGATTGCGAGGAGGAGGGGCGTGCGCCAGCAGAGACTTTGTGAGACAGTTTGTACCACCCTTCATCAATTTGAAGCCCTAGTAAGTTCGGTCCCAGCGAAATCTAAGAACTATCCCAGCCAACAATGCCGCAATGGATATACCTTGCTGGTATGTTTAGCAGGTCCTTCGGCAAATTTGTGTTGCTTTGGTTGCAGTTTCTTCGGATAAACATGGGCCTAGATGTTTGCAGGTTCCAGGATGCTGTCACTGGGCTTTGTGCCAGACGAAATCTTGGTATTCATCCTGCAGGCCGTCCCGTTTCAGAATGTGGGGTTCTGAATTTTGCTTTGTATCATGTGAATTGATTTGTTGCTGTCGTGCCAAAGGGCCAAAAAGTTCACTGCCCTCAAAGGGATGCACTACTCACTACTTGATGATTCAACTGATTCAGGCTCCTTCAGACAGATATATACAGACCATGAGCCAAGCTTGCGCTTGAGAAAAGCAAACCTGCGGTTTTTTGTGTAGAAATGCCTCCGGAGCTCGATATGAAGCCAAATCGATTGTTCCCCTTGTATGTTTGTGAGGCGCATGATGCCCGAGCAGAGGCACGACAAATTGCCCAGAGATGCCGGCAGCTGGTGCACTGCTTAGATGGTGCCGGGATCAGCTTTTGACCTGGAGATAACAGGAGTTTCATTTGCCGTTTGTCATTCCTTTGCCTGCAAGCTTTTGAAGCACAACCCAGTGCCAACACTTTGTTTGCGAGGCAGGGGAGCAATCATGCCTAGAATATGTGCCACGGTCAGGAACAGCCTTTTGTTTGCTCAGTGCAATTGTGTGTGTGAGATCCATTTGGCTTCTGGACATTCTAGATATACAAACTAAGTCCCCACCACGACATTTCAAGGTTAAATGGTTAAACGATTTATATACTGTAGTTTGAACCCTATGACCCCATGTATGCCCTAAGCATGGTCTCATTTAGGCTTGGTAGAATGCGAACATACCGACCCATTTGCAATTGCAAGTGCGGCAATTCCCTTTCCAATTCTTTGCTGCCCCCCAAACACACATATAGATTCTATCATAAATGAAGCTGCACTGCGTGCATACACTTGACTTGAGCCCAGGTGGACGCAAATTTTGCTCTTCGACGCATTCGCCCTCCTGAAGGGAAGGCAGGATGCAAAAGAATAGTGTTTGCTGAGCATTTTTCGACTGCCATGGAGCCCCTTTTGGTTCGGGCCGACACCAGTTCAAGTCTGAAAGAAGTTCTTTCATGTTTAATGGGTTGGCAGGACGTTTCGGTATGTTTCTTTTGAGGGCCACTGGGCAATGTACCAAAGCTGCCTCCTGCCTCAGCATTCGTTACATGCTTTCATTTGCAAGTCTGCTATAATGCAGCGCATCCGCATGATCTGCCCCTTCCGCCAGTTCTTCATTGTGGACTTCGAGGTGAATGACCACATAGCCAAAGACCTCTACTGTCAGGGCCCAAGGGTACATGTGTAGCAGCCCACCCGGTCCGCTTGGTGCATGTAAACTCGAGATCGAACCTGATCCAATGACAGCATTGGCGTCCCGTGCTCCTGACAACTCAGCATATAGATGTTCACAAGGAACATGCTTCTTTTGTTTATGGACCATGTTGCCGTCCCAGTAACCTGAGGTTGTATATATATATATATACATAGAGAGGGAGAGAGAGATAGCATGATTGTATTATGTGATGTGCACGTTAAATGAAGTCTTGCCGCCCATTCACCTATGGTCTTTGGTTGAAAGCACGTGCTTTTACTTTCGTTTGTTCGAGTCTGAATGACTTCAAAGGTCGTGGAATCAGAATGCAGACTTCTTCAGAAATTATGATGGATGTGGTTGGCATGCAGATGTATGCAGCTTTGTTTAGTATCATTAGGTATTTATCTACATATATAATCATATATATATATATCATCGGCGGCATTGTCGTCCCTTTTGGCCAACAGGAATGTAGTCAACAGCTGCACTACATTCATGGTAATATGCTCAAGTGAAGTTGAGGGGTCAGGTCCAGCAACTAGAGCAAGAGTACGTAAGGATTGGTGCCATGTCACCTCTACTGGTCGAATGACATACTTCGGGTAGCTCTTGAAACGGCTTGCTGCTTCCATAGCCGCTGTCGTAAATGAAGGAGTTGCAAAAGAGTTTACACTTGTGACGGGAGCCCAGCTCGATAGCCTTGCTGCAGCTTCTTCGATGGCATGGAGAATCTTGCAGGACCTTCTTTCCCGCGTTCCTCATTGCGGTTTCAGGTGATACTCTATTTCGACAATTGGCTCACGCCCATTTTAGCCATTGCAGTGCTGGTGCTGCTGCTAGTGAAACCATACTTTCATCGCTATCCACCAGGAGGGGTTGGATGAACAGCTCTTTCAGCTGAAGTTGTTGGAGTGTCGGAGTGTGTATGTGGGCTAGGATTGTGCTAGCAGCAGGTTTTGGCTAACCACTTTCAGCAGACTCGTAATCACTCAATCGGCCAAACGATGCAGTTTAGCAGGTGGAACAAGAAGACCATCATACCCAAGAAACATGTTGATTTATGTTGGTTCCTCTTGAATATTCAGACCTCTATGTTTCCTTCTTTCTTTTTTTGTCGTGGTGGATGGGCCAGCAGCCCTAACAAATAGCTGTGCTTTTCTCCCACTTCGGGAAACAGGAACCATATTAACTAGGCTGGCAGTGAGCCAGCCCGCTTAGCAAGGTCCAGCAGCCCAGCACTTCTGCACCGGTGTGCTTCCAATGGCGCCAGCATCTCATTTGTTCAACAAATCTTGTACCCAAAGAAGTGGTTTGACAGCCAGCCAGCTAACTTAGATTAACTTGGTGAGGTTCTGAACCACAACCAGATATTGACAAGGAGTGCAGATATGGTGAGTTTGCCAACTTGTTTGGAGCAAAGGTGTCATTTAAATCATTTCATCCTTTTTTATGTGTTTAAACCGGCCCAGTTAAAGTCAGAAGATCTGCAGCCTTGGAACCCTGCGTCCAGGGGTGGCACTGGGCGAATTCATATTGATGCTTTTGCATTTGCCATTGCAAGCGCTGCGGAGTTGGAGTCTTGCTCCGTCAGCAAGACTTTCCATTGTTCTTGTCTTTTTGGACCCTTAGCGTTCTCTTCCAGACCTTGGTGTGCTTCCCTTACCACGGGGGATTATGCAAATACCTTTAATTACCCTGATGCAGGTGTGGCACCGCCGGAAACAAGCGAGAGAGTGCGATATTGATGGCAATCTTTCTGGCGCTGAGCGTTTGGACCGTGCTGGTTTGCGGCTACTTTTTGCTACTACAAAACTGTGCCATTTATTTGGATCCTTGACAACTTAGCAACCTTAGGCCTTAGGCCCTAGGCCTCTTCCACCATTCTGCATGCCGTTCCCGGGATATAGACAACAATTTTTGCTATATACTAACCCACGTATAGAGCTGCACAAGCTCGGTTCAAGATGAGCATGCTTGGTGATTATGCTTCGTGAACAGGTTTATTGTCTGGGCGACATGGTTGAGGTCCAACCTTGAAGTTGTGTTCGTTTATTATAGGACATTCACGGTACAAGTCTTAGTTCAGGCTTTTGGGCTTACTGTATTGAATCCTTTTTGCGTCTGCTCGACCGGCCATTGAGGAAAGCATTCTGGCAAGTGGCGCATTGATCCTGGCTATACTGGAGGTACTTGAAGGCTGGCTTGATCTATATATATATATATTATATATATATATTCTAGATATATAAATATATGTATACATATGCTGAATATTTGCTTGTCTAAAAAATGAATATAATCGATTCTGATTTTAGGTATATAGAAAGATCTATACTGTAAGTTCATGCGTGCAGTCTTTCGCCTCACGGGAACACACCAAACACATGCTCGTGGATATCGCATGATATCGCAAGCTTTTGGCTGTCGGGTATTGCAAAGCAGTCTTTGTTAACATGAGGTCGGGCGATGTTGAGGCCATGCACGCAGTAGAAGACACCAACTATATACTAAATACATCTAAATACAAAAGAAAGTTGCTCCACGAGCTTTGCAGGTGGTCTGGTTGGCAGCTTGTTTTGCGACGGCTTCTGGGAGTTTGGGATGGTCTTCCTTGGCTTTGCCGCTTCTGCTAGCAGTGTGGCGCTTCTAGTGAATTTCTGGCCAGAAAACATGCTGCTTTGGTGAGCTTGACCCTCGAATGCTATTTTGTACAGTTTTCGACAGCCGAGAACAAGTCGGTTGGCAACAAGGTGGCCAGTCTAGTTTGGACAGTCCCACTTTGGCAGCAACAGCAACGGAAATTGCTCACTTGTGGTGTGAATACAGTTTGTCACTTCACACACTTCCAAGGAAACTTGTTTGCGCACAGGCAGAAGCTCAGAAGGAAGCAGTAGTAGGTGTTGAGGTTGAACCCCGAGCAAAGCAAACATATGGGCAACGTGCTTCCCCATTTGTGGACGTAGTGGCTTTAATCGAAAAGCATTGGTGCAAAGAAAACATGAAGAAAACGTTCAGTTAAAAAAAACAGTGCGGAAGAATGGCAAAAAGGCAGAATCACCTCCACTGAGGTGCTCAAGTCGGAGAGCGGTTCCACCATGGAAGCAGTATGACGGGCTCCGCCGCTGCCTCATGATTGGATGGCAAGTGAGAAAGTTAATCGAAGTATATCGAAGTGTGTTTTCTTTAAGCGGTTTTTTTTTTGCCCGTTCGCCATTGGATAGAACCAATGAAACACTCTTGTGGCATGATTGGCAAGGCTTCATAATCATGTTTTTCAACTTGGCCCTCACCGTTCCCCAGCAATAGTTTGATTTGTACAGCCTAGTAGATTCCTTTGCTAGTAATTACAAGTGCATCGCTACTAGTAACAAGTGCCTTACTAGTAGTAACAAGAAGCTATTAGAAACAAGTGCCACGCTAGTAGTAGCAAGTGCCTTACTAGTAGTAACAAGAAGCTATTAGAAACAAGTGCCACGCTCGTAGTAACAGGTGCCTCACTAGTAGTAACAAGAAGCTATTAGAAACAAGTGCCTTACTACTAATTTCCAAGTTCGTTTGAGGTCACATTCCTACATTGGCTTCCGGCTTTCTGCCGCAGCAGGGTGCGCCAGCTACGTGGGTGCACGGTCAGCGTAGCAGCATGGCCTGTCTAAAATTGAGAAAGCTCTATGGTCCAAGGATGCAATTTTATCCTTTGGACTCAGTTCCCTCTTTGATCTACTACTGTAATGACTTGTTGTTTTAGCCAGGTGATTGAATCTTTGAGATCCAGGTGAGCGGGAATTTTTAAACGTGCCATCACATATTCTTGCGCAAGTGCTCCTTTTAGGTGCGTGAGGGGTATAAATACATATGCATTAATCTCGAGTGCCTATTTAAAAAGAAAACACCTATACCAAATTAAACAAAACTCATCTCGGAGACCTCGAAATACACTTTATATTTGTTTTTAAAATTGCCGCCTTCATCAGTAAATTTGGGTTTGTTCTTTTTCATTGTAGGTACCCGCCCACTAGAATCACCACCAATCGTGCCCCGCCGCATTCGCACACAAAGTTGGTGTTTTTTAGTCTGAACAGTTTACAAACGAAGCATATTTCAACTGATCACTATTTAATAACGGGTTTTCGTTAGGGGAAACAGGAGGACCCTTCGATCTGGAGTTTTGTTAATATAAAGCTTTCCCAGGGCTTTTCAGTTTTGCAATAGTTTTGCAGGTGTCCATTCTTGCGGTTCCTCCTATTTTAGGGACCACTATCAACAACAACGACACCGGATGTTCTTTTTATGGGTGGAAAGGATTAACAAAGGCCCTGAAAGACGATTTTCAACTTGCTTCTCCGCTTGTCACGAGTCGCCAGGTCCAGCGTGACATCCATCATTCGCTTCAGGAGATGAACACCGACAGATTTAGATACAGTGCAGCCCAGTGCTGGAAGGCATTTGTTTATGATTTACTGTAGTTTGCCCGTCTCCGCTAGCATCAGCAGGCAGTGTTTGGAATAGCAATTTAGTAAGACAGCCAAGTTGTCCTTTCACAATGTGAGTTTTGTTCAAGGCACGGAATGCCGTGTGCAGTAGGGTGATGGCCAATCTTGCTCAACATTTTCATTAGTTTCCGCACCTCTGTAAAGTAGCGAGGAGAGCGATGGCTGCGCACTCTGGAAGCTCATCAGCAAGGCTTGGTACACCATAATTATTCATGTTTGATCATCATATGTGTCATGAAATGTCATATATGTGTCCAAGTTGCATCGCACACGTACACAATTTGTTTGGAGTTCACCTGGAAAGTCCCAGCATTTTGGCTCTCAAGACAGATCAAGATTGTTTGGCTCGAGCTGACTCGAGCTGTGTCCAATTCAAGGTGTTCCGGGTGTGTGGCAATCTGCATTAAAAGGGTTTTTTGTCGTTCCACCCCGGTCCACCCCGGGTCTCATTCAAGGAAGGCACCTTTTTGATACTCCGAACATATTGGTTCTCCTGTCACTATGGTTTCTGGAGTTTTTGGAAAGCTTAACGTGACCTGAGACTTGATTGCCATATTCTTGACTGGACAAAGATGATATACACAGGCTGACTGCTAGCACCCTTGAGCTTCACCATATACCAGATCAGATTCGTCAGATTCGCAGAACTCCTTTTCATGTTCCACAACAAAGTCTTTTGGGGGGCGCTTCTCAGTGTTTTGCGCTCTTATGGCGTATTTTGTAACTCCTCATGCCAAGCGTGTTGATGCGCTGTGTGCCGGTCGGGTTGTGTACTCCGACAAAATTGATGAAGTAATTATATCTTATTGCGCCAGGTTTAGGTATCAGGGGCATTCAGGTGTGTTGCGCCATCTATGCGCCCCGTGGCTAAAAAAGCAGAAAGGGTTCTCCATTATTTTGTGCGCTATTTTGTGGAAAATAGCGGAGATTGGGACCGCTCCATCTTATGGACCTCCGAAAGAGGAAATCAAAAGGACATCAAAGAGAAATTAAAAGGACACCAAAAATAATCAAAAGGAAAGGAATCAGTATGGGTGTGACAAACTATATGGATTTCTAAAATTTGAGTTCATGGGATCCCCTTTCAAGAGGCTCATACATATACTGCTCCCCTGGCGTGACAAACATGTTTCTTTTGAGCACCTATGCTGCTGAGGAAAACGCCAAACAGTTGCATAATGCAAGACTGCAACTGGCACCGTACTTTCATTTCCCTAACGTAGTAGGTAGTACTGTAACACTGACTTTTACAGATGTTTACAGTATTTATATACTGTAACACTCTTCTTCACATTATAGCCAGATTGCAGCCGGCAGGCCAAATGTACAGAACTTGGCCATTGGGGCATCTATAGGCCCCATTTGTTTGGAAATAGGGAAAACTCAAACATCCCGCATTATTTGAATGTTCTGCAATTCAAAGACTAGCGATAAAAAGGAGATACATGGCGCGGCTGTTCCCGCTATTGTTTTGAGTTGCGCCAACAACTTTCCACCCCGTGTATATATATTATATGTATATATATATATATGTAGACCGATATTTGGTGCGTGTTTCTGTTTTGTTCTTTTTGGCTGCACCTCCTTCCAAGTTGCGTTTGAAGCGCTTGCCAGAAAGCACCCAGAGTATAGATCCGTGGTGCCTCTATCGCTTGGACACCACTTTGAGAGCTCACTGTGAACCATGAGCTTGCTCATAGAAGCTTTCTTGCTCTTTGAAGTGGATTGATGATATGTACTGTAAATCTCTTGCATGTTCTTTTTTGTTCAACCTCAACATTGTTGCAAAGGGTTAGAGTTATATACAAGAGGGGCTGAGACGGATGACTTGTTTGCCCGAGCTGGCAGCCCCCCTGGGCTGGTTGACAGGTCCGAGATCATCGGGGCGAATCTGCTTCTCCCGAGGTGTCGGCCTCCTCCAAGGCAGAGACCGTCCAATCCTGAAGGTGACCAAAAAGATCCAACATGAAAGACTCAAAACGACTCAGCATGAAAGATCAGTCAAAATGACAAATTCAATTTTGGATTGCGTCTTCAACATCTTCAACTCACAAGGAAGACTGATCAGAATTATAGTGACGGACAATCACTTAGAACAAATCGGTGACAAATAAACAAGAAAGTGAGCTGCTAAAGCATGACACTTAGAACGTCTAGAACGTCGAAAAACAGAGCTGCAGAACCCATCACTTAGAACAAGCAGAATCCATCACTTTTCTAAATTTATCTAGATTTGTTCTAAGTGCTTGTCCGTCCAACCTTCTGTTTACTTCACCCTTTCTCCAACATGATAGACAACAGCATGTACATGCATGTACTGTGTGTATATATTTATATATGTGTATATAATATACAATTCTATGTTTTGCTGGTTTTTGGCAGCAGAATGCTGGAAGCACGTTCCCAGGCCAAAAAAGCACAAATGCAGCATGCATGGTTTGGGGAAAGAGCTGGATGCAGCCTGAAAGTTGAATAATGAATAATGTGCCTACATATACTCATATGAGCGTGTATATATTCAAAGTGCAGGGGTTTCAATTGTTCTAAAAACAAGGCTTAGAACGCTGATTTTTTGTTCTATGTGTGGGGTCCTCGGCATGTTCTATGTGGCTCTTATTCTTTTTGGATCTTTGTTGTGAAAAAAATTGTTCTAAGTTAAGTGGTTGTCCGACACTATATATAAATATCTAGGCGACAAAGGCTTAATTAAAGGACGCCTTGCTTGGGGTGCGCCCAAACAAGTCTCGTTTTGGGGTCGGAAAAGATGTAGGTTGTGGCTGATTCTCGCCTTGCGCTCTTATTGACAACCTCGTGAGATCCAGCGAATGCCTCATTACTGGTCATGTCATGAGCTACTAGTAGCGATACACCTGTTACTTGTAATTAGCGATGCAATTGTCACTAGCAGACTTTGATGAATGAAGCCGTCAAGCTGTTCTTCCATGTTCCTCCTAGTTTGGCCAGGTGGGACATCTCACTGCCAGATTCCAAGTGTTTGTTGAAGTCAGCCGTCCGCGCCTTGTGTGTGCAGCATGACCTGAAAGGAGAAGGAAGGTACCAGGCTCTTGATTCATACAAACATGCAGTTCTCACGAGAGCAAGCTCTTGCTAGCTGTAGGTCTGTAGGTGCTCTTTGTTTGACAAGAACTTGTCAGGGGAGCTCACGGCTCAACTCACCCAGGCCCCTTCTGGTCG